CGTCCCCGGTCGGTCAGCCCGCCTGTCTGTCCCTCTCCACAGCTCGGTCAAGGAGCGTGATGACCGGCGAGCAGATGGCGGCCTTTCACCCCACGTCCACCCCCAACCCGCTGGAAAGACCCCTCAAGATGGGCTGGCTGAAGAAGCAGAGGTCCATCGTCAAGAACTGGCAGCAGAGGTACTTCGTGCTGAGGGCGCAGCAGCTCTACTACTACAAGGATGAAGAGGACGTGAAGCATCAGGTACCTGCCCGGCCATTCGCCCCCTTTCCAGGGCTGAACCCTCCCGGGTGCGGGAGGAGGTGGAGCCCCGGAGACCGCTGTAAACTCACAGGGGCTTTCCTACTAGGACCAGACCCCTGTCCATCTGAGAGAACTTGGCTCTCTCCTTCTCGCCATTTCCTAGACATCGAGTTGCAGAGATGACAGGGAAGTCCCCCTCCCCGGAGCCCCAAGATGGGCCCTGTGGTGTTTCCCAAAAGCAGCTCTAAGTCAAGGCTGGTAACATGGTCTTGATGGGGATTCCGAGCCTATGGGCCCAGGGAGAGTGGATTCGGGTTCAAGGAAATTGATTTGGGGCTTTCACCTCTTTGTCTGTTCAGCCAGCATTTATTGAGCATCTACTCTGTGCCAGACACTGTTCTGGGTCCTTGAAATAACCCAGTGAGTAAAACAGATTAAAAATCCCTGCCATGTGCAACTTAAAAGGTGTTGAGGGGTGGGGGGAGACAGAAAATAAACATAGTAAATAAGAAAGGTATGTGATGTGGTAGAAAATGACTAGTTCTATGAGGAAAAAACATAGAATGGGCTGGGGGGGGTCAAGTGTTTGTGGGGGGAGTTGGTACAACTTCAAGAAGGGCGATCAGAATGACCTCATGAAGAGGGTGACATTTGAGCAAAGATGAAAGGGGAGAAGCAATTAGCCAGGTGGATCTCTGGGGAAAGGGCACTCCAAGCAGATGGGACAGCCAGTGCAAAGGCCCTGAGGCAGAGCATGTCTGGTGTGAGAAATAGCAAGGAAGTCACTGTGGGGGCAGCAGAGTTAGGGAATGAGAGAATCAGCGGTCAGAGAGGGGAGAGCAGGGGATCAGGACGCAAACTGCAAAGGACATTGCAGGCCATTGTAAGGACTTGAGTGTTTACACTGAGAGAGATGGGAGGCACTACAGTGTTTTCAGCAGAAAGGGTACATTCTTAGGTTATGTTGTAAAAAAGATGGCTCTGGCTACCATGCTCAAAAATAAATCCAGGGAAGAGGCATAAAGGTAATTTAGATGAGAGGTTATAATGTTTAGAATCTCAGTGGGAGTTGTGGGCTGAAGGAAAATGATTAGTTTCCTGACAGACTTTGAAAGTACAGTAAACAGGATTTCCTGATGCAGTAGATGGGGCTAGAGAGGGCTTTGATCCTAAATCTGGGGCCTGGCTCCTTTCTTCCTGCCTCGTTGATTGCTCATGGCCATCACGGTGCCTGAGAGTGAAACGGGGTGCTATTAACAGTTACCCTGAGACCCCAGGTGGAAACTGTATGTCTCAAGGCAACCAGGTTGATTGGAAACCCTCTCTAGAGCTCACATCCTTGGAGGTGAAAGTGTGGGCTTGGCCAGAAGGAACTTGTTAGGGAAGGCAGATTCTAGAATCTTCTGGAGCCAGAAAGAAAGCCCCCAGAAGGGTAGGGATATTAGAGGTGGATTGCAGGGTCTGTAAAGCAATGAGAAGGTCATGGTGGGAGAAGACATTTCTCAGTAAGGGCAGGCTCGAGACTCTGTGACGCATCAGCAGCGTTAACCAGGCCCTCCACCCGAGGGCTGTGAGCGTCTGTCCCTGCAGAGGCTGAGAGGGGCCAGAGACCCCACCACTGACTGTTCTAGCCCAGCGTCCTGTGCATGGCAGCCAGACTTCCTTCGCTTTGTGAACAACCTGAACTCTATCAGAACCAAGCAGTTACTGGCTAAGCTGGGGGTCCTGGTGCATTCATAGCCAAGGCAGGAAATCTTCCCATCTGCAGAGAATGAGGACGATGGCTATAGCGCATTGGCCTTCCCAAGTCAGCAGAAAGGGGAGCTCAGCGAGGCTCACTTCCGTGAGGGGTAGCAGGTGACCTCGTGTTCTTTTCCTGGTTCTTCTACCATCTGGCCATGTAATTGTTTAATTCTTCCTGGACCCCTCTTTCTTCTTTCGTAAGATGAGATTATCTTACCTGGCCTACCTTTGTCACAGGATTAAGTGATATGAAACACATGTCAAAAAAAACCATTGGTAAAAGCATAAACTGATGTCAAAGGATAAAATAAATTATTGGAGGTCGTGGCTTTCTCCCTTACTTCTGGAGGAGGAAACTCAGAGACCTCTCAGGATTAAGATAGTCTGGGATAATTAGGTGAAGCTTCTTCTAAGATGACAAGCATGGTTTATTTTTTAGGAAACCTATTAATATATCAGATCAAGAAGTCAAAATCAAGAAGCAAATGAGAAAAACCACACAACCCCTAAATAGATGGCTGAAAAAAAGCACTTGACCAAATCCAAAACTCATTTCAGTGTAAAAAGACTCCTTTAAAAAAAGCTTTAAGTAATCAAGTGGTAATTTCTTAGAATGTTTTACTGTATATAGATGTGAATATTTTGGTTACAAAAGCTGTATGTGTGCATGGTAAGAAATTTGGAGGGTGCAGAAGAATCACAAAGTAGAAAATAAAAATTATCCCAGCAGTGAGAAATAGCCAGCTAAATCCTCACTTCTTCCAGTTTTTCTAGACATACACATTTAAAAACTTGTCTATTCTAAATGCAAAATTAGTATAATAATATTCTTCAATTAAAAATTACAGCGTGGTGGGTATAGCTCAGTGGTAGAGCACGTGCTTAGCATGCACAAGGTCCTGGGTTCAATCCCCAGTACATCCATTAAATAAAGTTAACAATATGTCATGAATATTGTCCCTTATGATTAAATATTCTTCCACAATATAATTCTTAATGGTGGCAAAATTTATTGTATGGACAGCCTATAATTTATTAAACCAATTTTCTCCTAGAAATTAGTTGAGAATTTGGGCTGATGTTTCTATATTATCATAACAAACAAGAATTAAGTGGATGTAGACTTTTTATATATCCATCATTATTTCATTAAGATAAAGAAACGTCTATTCAAACTAAAGTACTTTTTTAATGCTGTCATTTAAAATTATGTTGGGATTCATAGACATTGCAAATACCTAGAAGTGAAATGAAAGACATGAACTAAATTCTTGGGAAAAAAAAAAGGTCTGTTTCCACGCTTTGTTTCACATCATTCATGATTCTGGATGGATTAAAGATTTATGTATGAAAACAAGTTCATTAAAATCCTAGAAGGAAGTGTAATTATCAGCATGATCTTTGGGAAGCAGGTGTTTCTTAAATGTAGAAACAAAGACAGCACAAAGAAAAGATGAATTTAATTGCATAAATAACAATGTCTGTACCTTAAAAACCAACAAAATAAAGGGAAAGGGCAAATAATAAGCAGGAAAATGTATGTTCATATACAAATGGTAAACAAATATTCTTAATATAAAGTAATCTCAAATCTATAAGAAACAGCAATTTAAAAAAATGAACAAATGACATAAGTGGGCAATTTCCCAAAGAAATGCCATGGCCCAAAAAGCATATGTAAAAAAAGTTCAATGAGTCATAATTAAAGACATGCAGTGGAAGCTAATGAGATTACTGCTGTCTCCTTATCAAATTGGTGAAGACTTTTCAGAAATTCCCATGTGGGTAAAGACTAGGGAACAGAAATCCTCATGTGCAGCTGGCGGAAAGGAAAAGTTGTACAACCTTCCTGGAGGATAATATGTCTCTTAAAAATGCAAATTTTTTGATCTTGTATTTCTATTCGAAAGGTTTACAACAGTCTTGCGGAAAAATGCCTGGTGATATGACTAAGTTATGTCAAGGAAATTTTATATGTCTGTACATTAGCATACAATTCAGCTGTTGATGCCCTAAGTTAGTAGTTTTTGAAACTGAAAGATATCCATAATATACTTGTTTGGAAAAAAAGAAGCAGTTAACAACAGAGGATGACATATATGCTAATTCCATTCTTGAGGGAAAAAAAATCCTGAATCTGTAATCTACGGGAAAAGACGTGTAAAGAAACACACAGAAGGGTTAACTGTATTTATTTCTGAGGACTGGAGTTACATACAACTTTTAATTTTCCTCTTTCTCTATGACTAAACGATAAATTAGGTGCAAATTTAAAGAGAACACAAATACACCCTGATCCCTAAACAACTCAAAAAAAAAAATACCCCAATAATCTTGCAGCAATCACATGAAAAAGACCTTCGTATCTACTGATGGTGTGTGCATTTGCTGCAGCCTTTCTAGAGAACAATTTGGCCAGATTTCTAAGAGTCAGAAAAGATCGTTTTGGTTTTATGAAACTCTCCCAAAGAATAAGATAAATGCAGTGCTATGTGTAATGAGAAATTTTGGACCAAATGTCTGACAGAGGAGAATGATTAAATAAGTTATAGATGCTTGTAATATGCCCTCCTAGGGAAGCTTGGGGTTTGATAGAAGGCAGTCTGTGCATTTTTCTCTTTGAGTTCTCAGAAAGGTCTGTCCAGCTCTAACAGCATAATGCCCTGTAAGTCCGTGACCTCGCTTTCTATGTAACTCATTCCAATTGTCCCATTGTCTCATCTGCTTTCTGTGAAATTACCACGGATAGTTGTCTCCCAGGGGCATGCAGGGAAATATTTCACAAATGGCCCTCTGGTAGGCGAGCTGATTCTTTTCTTTTCTTTTATAGCTATATGAGATGGCAGATGTTCACCAAACTTATTGTGGTGCTCATTTCATGACGGATGTGGGTCAAATTGTTGTACTGGGCATCTGTGCTTGTGTGTGTGTGTGTGTTTCACTGAAGTATATTCAGTTACAGTGTGTCAATTTCTGGTGCACAGCATAATGTTTCAGTCATACAAGATTCATTTTCATATTCCTTTTCATTAAAGGTTATGTTACTGTAAGATATTGAATATAGTTCCTGTGCTATTCAGAAGAAATTTGTTTTTTTTAATCTATTTTTATATACAGTGGTTAACCTTTCCAAATCTCAAACTCCCAATTTATCCCTTCCCACTCCCTTTCCCCCAAATAACCATAAGATTGTTTACTATGTCTGCTAGTCTGTTTCTGTTTTTTAGATGAGTTCATTAGTGTCTTCTTTTAAATTTTTTTAGATTCCACATATGAGTGATATCATATGGTATTTTTCTTTCTCTTTCTGGCTTACTTCACTTAGAATGACATTCTCCAGGTCCATCCACATTGGTGCAAATGGAATTATTTTATTCTTTTTTATGGTTGAGTAGTATTCTACTGTGTAAATATACCACAGCTTCTTTATCCAGTCATCTGTCGATGGACATTTAGGTTGTTTCCATGTCTTTGCTATCGTATATACTGCTGCTATGAACATTGGGGTGCATGTATCTTTTTGAATTAGAGTTCCCTCCAGATATATGCCCAGGAGTGGGATTGCTGGATCATATGGTCAGTCTATTTTTAGTTTTTTGAGGAATCTCCATACTGTTTTCCATAATGGCTGTATCAAACTGCATTCTCTACTGGGGATCTTTAAGTTGGACAATGCAGTATGTTAATTGTATTTCAGGGGGACTGCAAGAAAAAAAAAGGAAAAATAATTAGAAAGTGATGAATTCTAAGTATTACTACCTTTATTTTTAATATAAAATATTTCTTTGTAAGTTTATATAACAGTTAATAATAGCTTTGAGTTATGGCACCAGAATAAAGCGCCATGTTGTTTTTTAGACAGGAGGGAGCGTTACCTGGTAGAAAGAGAAAGAAAGTGTAATCTCAGAGGTACGTGCCTCTCCTAGGTACCTCTCTAAATTATTATTTGATAGTTTCATCACTAAATAGTAAAAATAAAATACAAAATATGTGAATACCCTTTACTGAACAGTTACTAGGTGCCAGGCTCTGTGCTAAATGTCCTCAATATACTATCCAGCAGCAAACTCAGGGTTTTTTTTTTTTTAAGAGGCTATTGATATTATTTAAAGATAGGACCATGTAAGTAGAGGTTACTTTTAAGTAATAAAATTAGAGAAGTGTAGACGGATATTTTTTCTTTTCTCTTGTCCTCCTCCCCCTCCTCCTCTTCCCCTTTCTCCCCTACCTCTTCCTCTTCTTCTTTTTCTTCTGCTCATTTTCGTACTCAGTCTTCGACATTTTCATTTCCAGACCCTCCAGAAACTTTTATTCTTTCAGGCTTCTGAGCTGATCTGAGAGTTCCTTAAGACTCTCACCTTCATAGCTTCTCTGTTGATTGTTTGTTCTAGAATTAAGACATGCGTGTTTCCTCAGCCCAGAATCAGGCACACTAGCTCCAACAGCCAGTGAGATGTAAATTATGAGTAACTAACTCCAGGACAAATTGACTGTGTCACTTAGACTTTCAAAGTGCTGGTTTTCTCATCTGCAAAGTGGGAGTGACCGTCTTGCCAGGCTTCTGATTCGGGGCTGTGTGAGCACTCAGGCGACGTGGCATGTGACAGTGCCCTGACAGCGGTGAAGCACTGAGCACACCCACGGTGCAGGTGACCTGCTCTTCTGATAACATATTCTTGTGTCAGGTTACAGACTCCACCCTCCCGCTCCCTCCCTGCCGTGAATCCATGGTCCTTCTCCCTACTACAGGGGACATTAAGCTGACGGGTCCCAGCACCTCTGCTGTGATGGTGACGAGCACAGGCTTTGAATGCACTTCTGGGATGAATTACCATTCTGCCGCTTTACTTGTTGTGTGATGTTGGGCAAATTACAGAGCCATTCTGATCCCGTTTCTTCCCTTGTAAATGTGTGTCACAATACCTCACTTGGAGGATTATTGAAAAGACTGAGGGAATAATATGCATTCAAGGTGCTTAGCAAAGGGACAGACACCTGGAGTGTGCTTCTCAGAAGCTCTTGCTGCTGCCAAGACCATATCCCCTTGATGAATCTGTGGTTCAGTCCTCAGTGCCCCCCTCTGGCAGCCGGGCCAGTGGTATGGTCCTCCCAGGTCTTGGCATTGCCGCCACAGAGATCAGGTGTCCGGTTCAGCCAGGAAGTCCGGTCCTTGGAGAAGTAGAAAGAGGCAGGTGATGATGACGGCACCCTCTCAGCTCATTCTCAGGTCAGGACCTTGTTCTTGTCTCTTTGGGCACCTGGCTTGCTCTCAGGTAGCTGCCACTGAATTTGACCAAGGTTTGAATTCGAGACTGTGATGCTAGCTTTCCATCTGCCCCCTCCCTTGTCCCATCATGATCCTGTCTGTCCTCCAACCTGATTTCAGTTCATAAGTGATCACATTTCTCCTTATCTTAAAGGCTTCACTTTTGATCTTTCAGGGCTGCATGTATCTGCCCGGATGTACAGTCAAGGAGATCGCCACAAACCCAGAAGAAGCGGGGAAGTTTGTCTTTGAGGTCATTCCAGGTAAGTGATGAAAGGCGGGCTAGACGTGCCTTCCATCCCATTTTACTTCTGATCCCAGAAGTCTAAGTTCCGTGAGTCTGTCAACCAACTAGCCAACCAACCTAGTAAGAACGCACACTAGTTCTGCATAGACTTGATGAACTTATACAAGTTCATTAACTAGCATATGATCTAAGTGGATGTGCATCCAGTTCCACCTTATAAGCATTTCACAAGCGCCTGCTTGGAGCCAGATATCCACTAGGCACTGGGATACTGATCTGAAAGTCCATCATCCCTGCTCGCTGCAAGGAGCTCCGCTTTGAAGTTGAGTGGAACAAAGAAATTAACAGTATAAATGGAACCGTGTGAAATCACCATGTTGTTGAGTCACAAATGGTTGACAGTCAACAGTCGTAAATGGCTCAACGAGACCTAATAAGAAATGACACCTCCGACTTACTGAGCGCTTACCACGTGTCAGGTGCCATAATTCACCAGTTGCACAGGTTAGCAGCTCACGGGAGGGTGCCTTTTCCTAATCAGGGATTACCTTCCTTGAATGCATTTGGGGGAAGAGGGAGGTTTGTCTCAGTTTGTCTCAAGGGGAGTTGGCTCGTGTTTGTGTACGTCTATCATACTGAGGCTGCTTCTCCCTGTCTCTTGCTCCTTCACCAGTCCCCTGGGACTGCTGGTCTGGCTGTGTCGCCAGGCTGCTGACACAGCAGGGGAGCCCACAAGTCCCCTCAGTGTCCCCTTCCTTTAACTCCCTTCTTACCACTCACACAAGGCAGCTATGTGCATAAGAAACCTGGTGGAGAAGACAGTACAGCAGAGAGGCAGATGTACCCAGTCTGGAGCCAGCCTGCCCGGGTCCACGTCCTGGCCCTGCCACTTACTACGTGTGTCACTGTGATCAAGTCATTTAATTTCTCTCTGCCTCTGTTTCTTCACCTGTGAAATGGGGACAATGATGATCATAGTAAGGATTAAGTGATGAAATATACATGAAACACTTGGTACAGTGCCTGGTATGTATTTAGTGCCATGTTAATTGTTTAATATTTTGAGAATAACTATAGGAAATTATGTAGAACCCAATTCTAAAACTGGCTATCCCATTTATACAAAACAAAGAAAAACATTTTTTTAAGTTCAGCTCTTCCTCAATGGCCCCCTTATGAACACCCCTTTGCTTTTTATCTGAAGGTCTACCCATCTCTTATCCTCTTTAGAGGAAAAGCCTACTTTCCCAGTCTCTTTGTTTGGAGACATCTCCACCCCTTTCTTTCTTCTATTCCTAGGATCCCTTCCCCAGCACAACTCGTGGGATGCAACCACCCATGATAGCACATGTCCCAAAGCCTGAATTTTCAATCTAGTGTGAACCTACTGAGAGCGCCCATGGCAAATTCACTGTGGGCTTTGCACCAAAAGTCTGGTACCCTTGAAGGTTGCTAGGCTAGGGTAGGATGAAGATTTATCCTCTGATTATCACTCACACTTGCAGCTGTCTCCCAGGCTGCCGGGGGAATTCTTGAACAGATTCACAAATGCGTGAGTGTACGCACCCACACTCATCTCGTTAAGGACAAACAACAATTCTAAAGCCGCAGTAAGGTAGGGAACCATTTTCCTAAAGACGCCATCGTTCCTGAGGCTTCACTCAACTTAAAACGAGACAGCCCTTTATGTTACAGTGTCGAGAACTTCCAGTTCCTCTTTTTGTCATCCTCTCGTGCAAGAAGGTTCTCAGGGACTAATGCTGTCTTCGTTTATCTGTGGAGCAGAAAGGATGCGAGAGCCCTATTCTGTTTTAGAGGGATGTTGTGATTCCTGTGGGATTCTTTTGTTTTGCCCTGAGCACGCTTCACTGCCCATTTTACTTCTGGAAATACCCAGCTCTCAGAATGTTCCTGAATGGCCAGGGCTTTGATGGACTGACCCTTCTGGCAAGAGGAGCTGATGACCCAATGATAAGATGGATTCAGAAGCAAGTTGTCCCAAAGCATAAAAGAAGCTAAGGCTGGGTGATCATAAGACAGGATCAAGAGACTAGAAACAAAGGAAATTTGAAAATATGTTGTTGCTATGCAAGAAAATACAGGTTTGGGCACAACTGGGCAGTTAGAACAGACTCTTTTTTTTTAGCTTTTTAAAATTAAAGTATAGTTGATGTACAATATTATGTAAATTATAGGTGTACAATACCGTGATTCACAATTATTAAAGGTTGTACTGCATTTAGTTATTATAAAATATTGGCTGTATTCCCCATGTGTACAATATATCCTTGTAGCTTATTTTATACCTAGTACCCCTAATCCCCTACCCTTATATTGCCTCTTCCCTCTTTTCCTCTCCCCACTGGCAACCACTAGCTTGTTCTCTATGTCTAT